CCCCACTTTCCGGAGATTTTTCCGGCCTGCTCATTCTTTCCGGCCCTTCTAAGCACTTCCCAGGCCTTGGAAGCCTCGGAACTGCCCTAGTTTTGCTAACCGTAACCCTAACCTGGATGTTCCCATAACCCTAAAATGGGGGCCAAATACCCATGAAATGTGCCATTTTCAAAATACCCCACTTTCCGGAGATTTTTTTGGCCTGCTCATTCTTTCCGGCCCTTCTAAGCACTTCCCAGGCCTCGGAAGCCTCGTAACTGCCTTAGTTTTGCTAACCCTAACCCTATCCTGGATTTCCCCCGTAACGCCTTAGTTTTGCTAACCCACCACACATAGATTCAGCAACGCTGGATGGGCATGAGTGAATGTAAATTCCTGCAGAAATCTGGTGTTTCTAGATGACACCCCGGCACTGAGCGAAACTTAGCACCCAGGCCTTCCTGTCCCCAATTCACTCTGGCTCACATGGCTTGCTCGGCATCCTCTGTCCCTTCCTCACCTTCCCCTGAGTCCCACTTGGCTGACCCGGCGCACTGGCCCCCATGGGGGCTTTGTGCAGGACCCCCTGGGCAGCCCTCTTACCCGAATGCAGGAGAGCCATCACGGGGTCCTCAGCTGCAGCCAGCCCTGGCATGGACACGCTCCCCGCCCGGCAGCACAGCAAGGCCGGGCCGTTGCCCGAGCTGTCGCTGTTCCTCTGTGATCAGCCAGTTGGCCTTCCAGCCACGTGTGGGGCAGGGCAGTCATGGGCCCCTGTGGAGCAGCTGCAGTGCAAAAATGCCGTGCCCCCCTTTCTCCTGGCGTCTGCGCACCTTTTCTGCGCAGCTGTGGGCATGTCTGCACACGAACCCCGGCCTGTGCGCTCCGTTTGGCGTTTCTGCGCATGTGCTCGTGTGTCTGTGTGCAAGAGAATGGATGAATGGCGATTCTGGCCACACGCCAGTGAAATGCAACACAAGAATATTAAAACGAATCGGATCAGGAGAATACGTCAAAACATTAAAACAGAACACCAGTAAAGGAAGACATTAAAATACCTAAATACTTAAATACTTATCTCTCTGTCTGTAGAAACCTTTCAACCAATTTCTGGAAAAACATGCAGCACATACGCATTTGCTAATGCAGTTTTGGTTTGTTTTTCCTTTCAACCCCCCCCCCGCCGCCCCTTGAGTTCAGCGGGAGAGGCCCTTCTCCGGGAGCCCCCCGTGAGAGAAATTAGGAGGGTGGCTACTCGGAGGAGGGCTTTCTCAGCGGTGGCGCCTAAGTTATGGAATGCGCTCCCTAGAGAGGTCCGCCTGACGCCGTCGTTATTTGCTTTTCGGCGCCAGGCGAAGACCTTTTTATTTAAGCTGCATTTTAACTGTTAATATTACTTGATATTATCTGGCCAGGGCGGCTTATTTTATATTGTATTTTTTGGATTTTTAATGTTTATATGTGTTGTAATTTATTTTATAATTGCCTTTATTTATTGTTTGTAAGCCGCCCCGAGGTTTCGGCGAATGGGGCGGCATAAAAATGTTTTAATAAATAAAATAAATAAAAACCTTACATTGTGTCATCATAATTCCAAGGGCAGCCCATGACCTGACGCATGTTCTCTTGCGGTTCCTCACATGCGGATCTCCCTCCCGCATCCCCAGCACGATGCTTCCCCTCCCTCCTCTTCCATGAGGTCTTGATTCCCGCACCCCTCCACTGAACATGCAGAAGGACCCCCTGGCCACCGGAAAAGGTGCGTGCAGCTCAGCACCTGCTCCCCCCCCCCCCCGTGCCCAACCAGAGGCCTCCAGGAGCGCCACAGCCGGACACAAGGACAACTGCAACTCAAAGCGGAACACGCTGAATGCAGGGCTTTCCGCAGCCGGCCATGGCAGCCACGCTTCTCCCCCCACCCCTTCCTCCCGATTCCAGGTTGTCAGGGCATCCCCCCTCTGCCTCCGTCTCTCGCTCGCTCCTGTGTGCCCTCGCTCACCCCGGCGCGGGGCCCTCGCCATCCAAAGGCTCTCCGAGGACATCGGGCCCGTCATGAAATCCCACCTACGGCCAGTCTGGAGACGAGGCCACGAGGGAGGGGACGACATGCCTGCGCCACCCGGAGCGCATCCTGGCGGCAAAGGAGTCTGACCCCTGGCCGGCAGAATTCGACACTCCGCGCCTCCATCGCCCGATGGGAGAGGATGGCGACAGAGGGGGCACGCTCCGGGGGCGACTGCCACCCAGAGTGGCGTTGCGCACCCCCCGGCCTTCTTCGCACGGGTCCCGGGGCGCACCCTCCCGGCCGCAGCCCCCGCAAGCAGAATCCGGCTCACGCTCTGAGCCGTGCACATCCGAGCCTCCCCCCCACCGGAGTCCCTGTTGGCGACAGCCGGAGATATCAGCCTGACTTTTAATACAATTTGGACGGGAAGCAACTGCTCCAGAGGCTGCATTAATTACTTTTAACGATGAAGCTATTACTGGAGGTGCAGCGGGAGGGGAGAGGCGAGGATGGGAAATTCTCCACTCCTCCCCTCACTCTTTCTTCAGCCCCCCCCCCAGACCATTTGCAGCCACTGTAGCAAACGGGCCTTTCCCTGCAACGCAATGGGACTGCAGGCCCTGCCGAGAGTCCGTCCCCAC